ATCTAATACTAATCTTTACTCTTTTCATCTTAAAACTCTCTTAAACAATCTCCCAACAATGGACAACCTAAATATTAGACAACCTCACCTATACCTCACACCAAATTGCATCCATTATAACCAAAAAGAAAATACACTCTATCTCCTCCAATGGATTGTATTAATTTTGCATATTTTTTCTTCACTTAGTTTTGTCTTTAGTGTTTTTGAAACATGGCATAATTTAATTTCTATATGTGGTCTTTGCCTTGAAAATTAAGTTTTGATCATACGAATTATTATTTCTCGTAAGGTTATTTACAAGGCAAAGACCCCATATATATATATATACCTTAATAATTTATTAGATCCCCTTCATTTTTAAGTAGACTCTTATTATCTCGTAACTCTTTAATACTGACCCCATCTATAATTGGGATTATCCCGATACCACATAATTCAACGCTAATTACGCTTGCTAATCCGATAAATATAAAGATTCTTTGTGTATTATTTTTCTAACTTGATCCCTCCATCGCATTTACTACAAAGGCTAAACCGGAATTAGTGTATATCGTTTTCCCATTGGATAGTAAGATTATTTACTATTTTACGAGTTATAAATATTATCAACTATTATCTGCTATTCATATATGATTAATAATAATTCTATTTAATTATTTTTAGTTTAATGCTATTATATTATTATGTTGTATTTGAGTTCCTACATTTTTATTTTATTCTTAAACATCATTTTTACTTTTGCTTTTATTCCGACAGAGAGATATTTTCATTCTTCAGTCCTTATTGATAATAAACTCTATTTTAGTGGTGGATATATAACTCCTGATCCTAATACTATCCTTACAACAGACTTTTTCTATTTAGATGTTTCTAAATCATTTAAAACAACAGACAGTGTTTCAATGTTGTGGAATGACCTTAGTAATACCAATGGTCCTAAGAAAGCTGAAGCTACAGCTTGTATTGGTGGAAAAAATAATGATAATATTTTTTATTTTTGGTGGTTTTCCCTTAGATCCATCTCGATCCTTCATTGATGTTAATAAATTTGATGTCAGTAAACAACAATGGATTGAAACTAATTCTGCTGGGAATACACCTAGTGATAGAACCAATATTTTATGTGCTAAATTTAATGATGAATCGATTGCCATTTTTAGTGGT